AGGTGCTGGCGAAACGTTAGGAAACAAAACTTCAAGAACACGGCCACACAGCCCGGAAGATCCACACCAGCCAAAATCAATAGTCTTTCAACCTAAATGGTACTTGATTTGTACGATCCCTCTGTGCAGTATCAGATGATTTCTGCTTTCCTGTTATAGCTACATATAATCCTCTCCTAGGCTTCAAGAGGATCTGCAATTCTCTGGAATAGGTTTTTTAGGTATATACAGTATAAGACTGCTGAGGGTGGGATGAAGAGAAAGAAAGTGTGAATGGATATAAACTTTTTAAAAATAGTGTACTTGTTCTTTGAAGAGTGAACTGATTTATTTTTGTCATTATATCCAGAAAAGTACTCTAATGGTGTACAATACTTCATAAATAATGATGGTTGGTCCTTGACACAAATTTCCTACATAGAAGTTACTGATTTAATTGTCCTTGACAAAACAGCAATACTTCATCACTCAGTGTATAAAATTCAAGTAAGGTCACTTTGGAATATTGCTGTAATTCTAGATCAATCTGATCACCTCAACATTTTGTAAATAAGTGTTGAAAAATTCAAAATGTGCTTAACAATGTTGCACTTCAGAGATTTTCAAACTTTTCAGGCTGTGGAACTGTTAGTTAAAAGAAAAGTTCCTGGAATCCCTGACCAAGAAGAAATTTACTAGTGATAGAAATTGGCAGTAAAGCAAGAAGTAAACTGATTATTGTAAATGCAAAATTAACATTTTGAATGTACCGAAAAAACAAACAAATTTGAATTTCACAGTTAACTTGTAAGATCAATGTTTTAACCAAACAGATCAATGTTTGATTATTAGGTGTGATGGCTTTTCCTTGGTAAAAGTTTAATATTTGGAGCAATTGGTGCTACTTGTAAGCAGAGATCATCTTTTATATTTAGCCTATTTTTATACTTGCTGCATATAAAAAGAAGGTTCTCTTACAAAGGTATGTTGTTGCAAATGGCATAAGATATTTCAGTCTTGACTGGCAATTTGAGGATATTCTTTTAAAAGCTCTAGCCAGAAAATCTGCACAAGGAAATGTTTATAATGTGAAATTAGTCAAAATGGGCCTACATTGTTTCTTCTTTGATAGTAATTCAGATGCAGTATGTTCAACAAAATGATTCTGGACCTGGTCAAATACTTCTGTTGAAGGAGAACAGAATATAAATCTGTTTATTTCAGATAAATAAATCAGAAAGTGTTGTATCATCAAGATTTTGACATTTTCTCTGAGGGAAATTTCATTTGTTAATTTAAAAAAAATCACTGAGATTTGGAAAGCACATAAGATTTTAGAAATAAACTCACTTCAAAGTGTGAATTTAAACTGAATTGCATCTGTTTTATTCTGATGTTTGAATCTAGTTATATGTTTATACCTTGCAGCGAAACACTACTGTAATGTCATTCAGATAAGTAAATATATCAGCCAAGTATGCCACCTCTGGCACCCAACTGTCACTTAATTTCTGTGCCAGTTCAAAAGAATGTTCCTATAAAAAAGGAGTATCTATTCTTGCAGTTTATAAAATGAAACCAATATTTGTCATGAGACAGTCATCTCACTTCAATACGAAGCAGCAATGTGTTTTCTAGACTCTCCATTTCTTCACATAGCACAGTAAATATCTTGGAGTTGAGTAATCTTGCTTTTATAAGATTCACAATTTTAACTGCCTTGTTGAGTACAACGGTGAGTTCTTTTGGCATGTCATTCACTACAAATGAATGAAGAAAAAGACAGCAGAGATTATGCTTAATATGTGGAGCTGTATTTTTCATGTGGGCCACACTACCTGACATTATTTTGACCATAATCGCTGCTCCATCAGTGCATATATTGCAACACAAATGCAAAAGTATTTTATGTTTTTTTATTAATGTAAAATAGATCAATGTAACTGTTTCAGCTCCTGTGGTTCAGGTAGGAAGAGGCTTGCAAATAAGTGTATTTTCCTCCACAGATGACTCAACACAAGCACAACACAAGAAAGATTAATAAGCCTGAAAATATTGGATTCATCCATTTGAAAGGAGAAACCTGCAGCACTCTTTTTACTTGTTTTATTCATCTTCACAAAAAGTTGACAAATCCTTGACATGCCTTGAAACTATTAGCAGAGAGTGGTATACACAATTGATTTTTTTTTAAATGCTTTGATTAGTCATCCATTCTACCAGACTTTTTCTGTATGGTTTAACCAACTTTTCTGCAGTAGTATGAGCTTCACCTGCTTTTGCTATGTGATAATTGATTAAACAGGAAATTCTAAAGCATTTTTCTTGATACACAAAAAATGTATGAAATGCCATTTTCTTTTCTTGGAATTCTGCACATTTTAATTCAAAATACTCAGGACTTACATTCAGATTGGATTTGATTTGTCTCCCTTGCAGTTCATGTTAAACTGTTCAAGTTCTCATCGTATTTCCATTTCTTATTTGGGCTTGGGCTTAATTTCTCAATCCTTGTGCCATTAAGAAGTAGCAGCAACACCAGCAGCACTGGAATTTGTTTTGATTTCTTTTGTTTTCACCTTTTTCTGTACTGTCTGCATTTTACCAATTTGAAGCTGATGATCCATATCTGGAAAAATGATCACATTACATAAATATTTATTAGGCCTAATTAAAAAAAATAATATGCATATCTGGAGGGGTACAGATCTAGGATGGATATGACAGTTTAATACTGTGAAGCTGAAAAATTATGCAGGAAAATCACTATTTGTGATATTACTTAAAATGAATCCCTTACTTGGCCTGATGTTCTAAGCACGCACATAATAATGTAGATGGTAGTAATGGATAAACATAGTGAAATTAGGTTTGTTTGTTTTTTTCTTGTGAATGCCTTGCTGAAG